TCCGAGCCTATGTGTTGATGCTATGAGGGTCAACCTGGACATTGTCACCTACACGCTGTGTACGATCACGTCCGAGCCTAGATGTGTTGATGCTACGCGCGTTAAGTCGAGCGTTGCCACCTACACGCTGTGTACGATCGCGTCCGAGCCTATGTGTTGATGCTGCTCGCGTTAAGTCGAGCATTGCCACCTACACGCTGTGTACGATCACGTCCGAGCCTAGATGTGTTGATGCTGCTCGCGTTAAGTCGAGCATTGCCACCTACACGCTGTGTACGATCGCGTCCGAGCCTAGATGTGTTGATGCTGCTCGCGTTAAGTCGAGCATTGCCACCTACACGCTGTGTACGATCGCGTCCGAGCCTAGATGTGTTGATGCTGCTCGCGTTAAGTCGAGCATTGCCACCTACACGCTGTGTACGTACGATCGCGTCTGAGTCTATGTGTTGATGCTACGCGCGTTAAGCCTTGCACATTGTCACCTACACGCTGAGCCGCATTCGTATACAGGACACTCACCTGAAGCCGTGCCGTACGGGTGAACAGAGTCCATCTGTAATGTGTTCGTGGTCACGCCCCATGCAGGGATCGCAGTTCGTACGTGTCCTGAAAAAGCACCTGAGAAGTCCTGGAGCTCACAATTGCGTGCACGTCTGCAACGGCCTCGAAAATAAGCCAAGAAAGTACCAGAAAGTACGCCAAGTCCCTGCAAATATGCTATTATGTTTGGTCCTAAAAAGCTTTCGAAATTTTAGCGAGGCACGTTGTGTATAACTGGCCAAAAAAATCGTATAGTCATGAAAATCTATTGTGAATTAGGTGGCTGAGAAGCTCCTAGAAACTTTTGTTTTGGTTTGGCTGTATGAACCCTGACTATTGCAGCCATTGCATCTGTTAAGTCGTTGCCTTATATTAGATGAAGAAGATGGAGCTTGGTGGAAGGAGCGGAGGTTGCATTCTTGATCTCCTGCGGCACTTTTATTGTACTATACCCTAGTATGGCTCATAGGGTCTATGTCCCCCAGGGTACTGCCTGAACGTACCCTGGTAACTATCTGATATGGTTAGGGTTAGGGAGTAGGCATAGGCGACTCCCTAGACTCGTTAGTGGAGTAGTCGAGGTACGGTCCGGCATATTAGATAGTACCAGGGTACGTTCCGGTATACCGGACGGTACCCAGGGTACGTTCCGGCAGTACCCTGGGGGATATAGACCCTCTCAGCCCTAGTATGCCAGGTATCGGTCCTTAATCTGGCTGTATGTATCGGCTGTGCTATGATATATCGAAGTTAGCATGCTAATGCTGTACTTGTTTAATTACTACTGCTATACGATGCGAGTGAATGTAAATCGGTGGTGAGTTAAGAACATGCGAATCTAGCTGGAACGCACAAGAGAAATGTTTGCATGTTTATATATATGGTAGCTAGAAAAATGTATTGCCGTTTTAATTCTGTTGTGTCGTACAATTATACTTGCAAACTGATACCAGTTTCCCTATCTCTAGACACTTTATAGACACACGAGTATGGCCCCGGAATCTTGTAGTTGATTCCTAACTCTGTACAATAATGTGTAGGTCAATTGAAGTTACTAATTTGTCTATAAAACGTTAACAGTGCAATCGGTGAGTGTATATATAACTATAGTAATAGAACTGGTGCAATTAGTTCCATATTCGTAGTGGTCAATCTGTATAGATATTAATACACAGAAACTGCATTTTATTTCTGATGACATTATACAAAATGTGTTGTCGTCCGTATTATTTTCTGTATATAATTATTAATACTTACTGTGAATGGGAAAGTTGGTTGTAATAGTTTCTCGATTCTTGTATTCTTGTTAAGAGCATGCAGACTGCTCATGTGACATCGACTGTGTTATATGAGCATTTCTTACTTTCTGCTTATGGGTTTTCTGCCCAAGTTATTCGTGACCCTACTGCAGCATATTTATAAACAAATACTTACCACTTTCATTTCTAGTATGTGGACATGTAGGCCTATATGTGTCTGTTTCCGTGAATTGTATTTGAAAGCTATCGTTTATATTTTTGTAGCAAGAAATAAATTTGGCTGTGTAGTTGAATATCTGATTATCTGTAAATCGAGTATTTATTTATGTTTTATAGGTTTGATATGTTACCGCGTGACACTAAAAACTAACGAAACACAGTATGCAGATTGCGATTACCGAAAAATATGAAGTGTCACACACGCACACACACACACCAGGGTCCCCACAGCCCTTGAAAGTCGTTAATTTTTTCTTTTGTTATTGAAATTCGATAAAAATGTTAAATTTAATCAAAAATGCACGTCATTGTCTACTAATGTACTCTATCAAAGTAGTTTGTTTTGTCCCTAATAGATAATATTTAATAGTTTGTTTCCCCCTGAATATTTGAAAAACATGTCCTTAAGATGTCCCTGAAGTCTTTGAAACAAAATTGTCACACTTTTGTGGGAACCACATACTGAGTACTTAGCAGTAATAATGTACCATATAGAATCAACCATCACGAAAAACCAATAATACCTTTTCATTCAATATCTGGTATTCTATCTATTTCTATCTATCTATATCCGATATGTCTATCTATTTATATGGTACTTTAAGCTATATCCTATCAGGTTATATTCTCTCGGGAATAATTAATGATTCCCTTCTCCCAAAGCGAAATATGTGCGTGAAGAGAAATATTGCGAGAAAGAAAGAGAGATAGTGTGTGTGAGAGAGAGAGAGGGGGATGAGAGTCACGGAGCGGGAGAGTGTGAGCGGGAAGGCGAGAGAAGTATATTAGAAGGAATATGTGCATCCGTGCCTGTGTGTGTGCCGTACGTGCGTTTTTTTCTGCGCGTGTGACTGCGCATGCGTGTGCACATCTCGCGTCATCATGAGTTTGCATTCCGCACTCCTTCCTCCGTCCCTCCCTCATTTCTCTCTTTCCTTCCTCCCCTCTCACTCCCTTCCCTTCAGTATTTCCCTCCCTCTCTCGCGGATAGTATCGCCCACGCATACACACACACACACACACACACACACCACACACACACACACACACACACACACACACACACACACACAC